GGTGAATAAGAAAGGGGTGGATGTCGGCCCGGATGGACACAGAAAACACAGCCTTGCCTCCTCGCACGTCCTGAGTGCCCTGGGGCCAGTAGGACGTGCACCCTGGCCAGGCCGGCCCTGCTGCGGCTGTGTGGCTCGGCAGCATTCCTTATCTCTCGGGGTCTCTTCCACCAGGAGGGAACCGAAGCCTGCAGAGAGCTCAGTGTGTTGACTCACAAGAGCTGGTGGCTGCCGTGATTACTCGGCAGGTCCACCCACTGCGCCCTCAGCTCCTTCCTCAGGAGGGCAAGCTGGGCCTTTTCCGTGCCCCTCCGGGCCGCCACCTGACACACCCAGGTCTGCTGTCCCAGTCTCCTGGCTCAGGGATCTGGTCCTTCCAGACAAGCCGGCACAGGCATGAGAATGAGGGCCGCAGTGTGGGATCGGGCTGGCGTCCGCACAGAGCCTGTCACACTGCTGCCCCCGTGTGTAAGTGCGCGCCCCCCACCATTGCACACGCCTACCCGTCTGTACCAGCCCCCCGCCCCTCTGGGCCTTGCCCACGACCATGCCCAGCAGATAGCTGATCCTAGGCTGGCTGGGTCAGCACGGGGGTGCCCACCAAGGCCGAGGCTGCACGGCGCTCACATTCTGTGTCCAGGGGCGATGGGGGCTAAGGGGGGTGCAGGCCTCAGGGACTTCCGCCCACCGCCCTGTGGCTTCTCCCTGGGAATCCTGGGGGAGCTGCGTTCACCCTCCGGGCCTTGGCCCTCGGGGCGGGGGGCTATCATGGGGCTGGTTCCTCTGGGCACCGGGGGCCAGAGGGCACTGAGGCGTCCTCCGTGGGAAAGGCGCTGTCTGCATGGCCACTGGGCTCGGCCATGGTGTGCCAGGGAGGAGAAGTTCCCTGAGGAATGAGCCCCAGGTGGAGGGGCTGGGAGAGGCTGCTCCATGCTAAGGTGGAATCTGGTGGTGAGTCCCTGTGTTCTTGAGGCCTGAGGCTCCTCACTGGGGAGGGGTCTCTGCACCTCTGAATCCCCAGCCCATCAGCCAAGGAGACTTGGGGCAGGAGAGGACGCCCTCAGTCCCCTCCGCTCCCTGTCACTGCCCTGGAGCCCCATCCCGCCTCTGCCCCGGGCTGGATCCCACCGCTGCTCCGGGCTGGATCCCACGGCTGCCCTGGGCTGGATCCCACCGCTGCTCCGGGCTGGATCCTACCGCTGCCCTGGGCTGTCCTCACAGGTCAATTTAACCTGCCAATGGGGAAGGTTTACAGGCAGGTCTCCCAGGGCTGGCCTATTCCACAGTTCCATAGGGCCCCAGAAAAGAAAGTTCTAGAGCCAATGATTAGGGTTTGTTAGCCTGGCCTCGCTGCCCAGCACTGCTCAGGGCATCCTCACGGGTACAGGACCCGGAGGGCCGTGGCAGCTTGTCCAAGGCCTGTCAGCTCCGATCCATGGGCAGAGCCGGGATGTGAACCAGGCTCAGCCTCTGGAGCCGCTCCTGCCCATTCCTCACCCCTTTCGGAACCACAGCTGGGGGACCATCGGCCTTGGCCCCACCAGGACCCTCTCTCATGTGAGGCCTTGCAGTCTTTGAGCATCTGGGGGGCCTCGTGCCACCCAGGGGTTCAGCACCCTCACCTGCAGGGCTGACTGTTCACCTGCAGGGCTGACCCTTCACCTGAAGGGCTGACCCCTCACCTGAAGGGCTGACCCTTCACCTGCAGGGCTGACCCCACCCCACAGGGCTGACCCTTCA